TCGAACTTGCTCTCCTATACTTCGTCGACATCGTTCAAAAATATCGGAAAATGTTTGGTACAGCACCAGTTCTTCTTCTAAAGAAGACGCCAACGCCGCAGTAAGTCATGTTAGGTACAATGCTTTACCTTTCTACCATCGTTTTATATTCTGCTCATATAGCCCTCTTATCTAGCCCTAAATGACTGTCTTCATTATATGATTTAGTCCTACTCCAACGGGCGTCGACATCTTTCAAATAAGCACTGCTGAATCGCAACAGACGTCGGCCATTCACGGCGACACTTCAAAGTTACCAACGGGAGAAAGCAGGTCGTCGAAAGTGGGTATTGAGACGTTGGCTGTGGATTCAGCACTTGGATCAGGATCGACGGCTAAACAGGGAGATTTGTTGAGTGTGTCACAGCAGAATAGCGGGAGTGGGGGTAAGAGTAATGGGACGATGTCCAAAGTGGGTAGTTCAAGGAGTGGGACGGCAGGAGGCGAACAGATGGAGGCGGATGTAGATAAGCCTAAGAGGTAAGGAAGTATAAAAATAGTGGTTTTTGATATCGTTGTAGTCCATAAAGTAGTCATAGGGTGTTTTCCATAGAACCTTTCTGATAAGGAGAGCGAAAACTCTTGTACTCTTGCGGACAGAAAAATTGTCTAAAACTGGAGGTTCAGGCCGTGATTTTCCGAAATTTTGAAACATACTGAGTTTTGAACAGACTTTCACGGAGATTTGGCAAATTAGCATGGGTTTTGATTTTGAATGCAAAAACTACCAAGGTCGAAATTACTCTGGCGAAGATGATCGTGAATTGAGTGTTGTTTTTTTGTGAAACTCGGCAAAAAGCCGATATTTTCGGGAAAGAAGCTGCATATTTTTGCACATCTCTGCAGAAAAGCCTATTTGTATCATGATTTCATAAAATTCAGGATTTGGTTAAATGCTACAAATTCGCACTCCTGACAATTCTCCTGACCGTCTATGTTAGACTTTTCTCAAAATAGTTCTTCGCGAAAAAGTTTTCACTGCCGACAAATTCAACCTGGCAAGTAATTATCACGGACAGTTTAACTTTTTCTCAGCGCATTTCTGCACTTGAAAAAACAAACTGTGGAAAAAATAGAATAACGAACACAGTGAAATGTGTTTTTTAACTTTGAGTCTGCTTAAGAGTTTTTTTCAGCATTTGTCGAGGGAAACGAGGGTTCTGGTCCTCAAAAAATATTAAAAGAAACTGTCAAACCGAGCCAAACCCAAGAATTGCGATTCACCGTGTTCTCTTTGCGGTTTTTTCACAGGGAGAATCGAAAACGAAATATCGTAAACGCATTACACTCCAAACCTGATAAAGTTGTCGATTATCTACAAACCACATCCTTATACAAATGATTCTGAGAAAAGTTTTTGGTTAAGCAATTGCCTTTCGCGGTTTTGAAAAGTTTAAAACCCGTTTTTGTTGAACAATACCCTTTTTGTTACAAAAACATAAAACTTGAACCGAAATTAAGCTAAAACACCATAGCTAAAAGTCTGTTTGAGCCTTCAAGGCAAAAAACGTTTTCGGAAAAATTCTTGGTCGGCGAAATGGCACTTATGGTTTACAAGCCACTACATAAGTCTAGTTCTGTTAAAGTTATGTCAACTTGCTTCACAAAGCCTCGAAAATCGACTGAGAATGAGCAATGCCGTTTTCAAGAAAGAGAAAAAAGTCTCAGAACACTATGGCGCTGTTATTCCTGCCCGGGATAGCACTTACAAGATTTGTCCTCCTTTTATATCTCTCTTTCCAGCGACAGTCCTGAACCTAACCTTACCCTCGATCTCAACACCTCTGCTTTTGCCGGCGCTGGCAACGTAGGCGGAACCATCCACGGGAATCGACAACAAGGACAATGACGAGTTGTTTCAACTCATCGACACGGACGCAACGTTACACCACCTCCAGTCATCATCGGAACGATTTTGGAAGGTCATGGACTTGGAAGTCCTGACACAACGATGATAAGAGGATTCGATGGGTCAACACACTATCAATTCTATCAAGGTTTGGCGGGTACAGGTCAAATAGCATTACTTCCACCACCTCCACCAGGGAGTCGAAGAAGTACGCATGGTGGTGATAGGGCGAGTGAAGAGGAATTTGCGGTGGAAGTTAGAAATTTGATTAGGATAAGAAAGCTGATTGTGAAGTATTTGAGAATTGCTTTGGGATGTTTCGTTGGTTTCTCGTTGGTGTTGGTTAGTATTGCAGGGTATTTATATCAGAAAGATCGAGCTTTGCATGGTGAGTAGGAGTGGTTATGCTAATGTTTTCTTTATGACATCGCACAGGCGGAGCTTGGTTGACGTCTTTTTTGTTATTTGAATAGGAAACCTCAGGCGATTCCTGCAATTTTACTGCAGTCAGATTCACTAAAGCATTCATGTTAAATGTTAAATGAAAGAAACATACCATTCATTTATTATTTTGAGAATTTCATTCGTTGCTGAAAGCACACCTCTTTCGAGATTTTTTGATCGAATGTAACAGGTTTCTGTGTTTTAGACACAAACTCCTTGTTTTTTTATATGCAAATCACGAAACGAAAACCCTCAGCGAACTTGAGGTATTAAAAAGTAAGGCGAAATTTTTAGTAGTTTCGATGCACAATCATCTCGGTGATTTTGTTGGCAGCACTCGGTCATAGTTTCTAGAGAGGTTCGATCTTTGCGATTTTTGTATCAAAGAGATGGCTTGGAATGTTTCAGAAAAAGAAAAGTAGAAAACCCTGCTGAATTTGATTTTCTCGGAACGTGGTTCTTGTGAACTCGTTTCGATTGCTTCGGATAAAAGCTGATCTGCTACAAAAAAAGAGTGCGAACTTAGTTCCTAGAAAAAGTTCTGGCAAATGCGCCAACCGTTTTATTTTTGGGTCTGAAACCGTGACTGAAACGCATTTCCATATTCCAACGTTTCTGCATAATAATTGTAGCGTTTCACAGATCTGTTTTAAAAACTCGTCCAGATCCTTTCAATTAGTAAGTGTACAGCCTTTTAATCGATGTAATCAAATCGCGTTTTGAGGTTGCCTGGAGGGTTTCTTTAAACTCCGATAAGTTAAAAAACTCTAATGCAGGAGTTTCTCGAAATTTTTGAGTGCACGTTAAATTTAGCATCAAAAACTAATCGCACAGCCAGATCTTCGGATTAATGCTTGCATGTCTTGTGTGAGTACGGGCATATGACCTCAATGATGGGTTTTGTGATTTTTGACTTTCCTCCGCAGATACCTTAAAATTTTTATTTTCAGTTTTTATCAATAGTTTTGGGAGCTCGAGGTCGATTCATTTTTACTGTGAATGTACCGCATCTCCATCTGTTGCTTTTTTATCTACAAACTTCCAGGCATCTGCCACAAACTCGACACCGACCCTCACCTCAACGAGAAACTCGAGACCTCACTCATAATCCTCATGAACAACCTCACTTCCTCCACAGTGGACAACCAAACTCTTGCACACATTCTCAACCGATGTGTTTCCAGCCATCGACGACACCAAGAAGGTAGCTATTTACACAACATCCTCGCTCACGAACTCGACCATCTCTATGACACCACAATCCAACCTCTCTACCAAAAATCGATCCATCCAAACCTCCAGAAGAGCTGTGGCACACACTGCGGTCAGTCAGAACTCAAACAAGTCTCGTTAAGGCCGGCCTACGACAAATTTCTTCTCGATCACTTCATACAAAACTTCCCGTACACCTGTTGGATTCCTACTCTCTACCTGAACCTGTTGAAACACGTCTTCTGTCAACGTATCAAAGGGCGTCTCAGTGGATTGTGGATGTACCTCTTGCTTCTCTTTTGGTCGTCTCTAACAACGACGTTGTTGGTTCTTCTCCTAAATCAACAACGGAATCGAATTTCAATGAAACAGGTTTTTAATATTGGAAATAAACCGAAGCAACATGAGCCACAACGTTGAGGTCAAATTGTGCTTTTCATGTGTTTTTGTGGAGAATGGCACACTAAATTTGAATAAAGAAATTGTTAAAAGTTCGACCTTGAGAAGAAGCAGGTGTTATGGGTTCTCAGATCAAAGACTAATTTTTTTTGTGAAACTCTCTCGTTAGGTCTACGCTAACAAGCAGTTATAAGAAAGAGAAGAAGCTTTTTATCGAAGGGCTGAGGAAGTCTATATATTGGTAAACACATAATGGAAAAGAAAAGCTTGCTTGTCTGCTTCTGAAACAAAATTTCAGTAATTTAGGTGCCAGTTTCTCAAATTCGCTTGTTTTTGTACTGCAGATCAGCCGAGTTAGTCAGAACAACTATCTCTCACTCGCAGTTATTTGTAACTGCACAACAGAATAATAAATTTTCTTTTCTAAAATTTTTTTTAATTAAAGTACTATAGTAAACAAAAACTTTCTCTGACGTTGTTATTTTGTATTTTCTTTTTTCGAGAGAATCCATGAAAATGTAATTTTAAAAGAAAACACAGATCGAAACTGCGTAGATTAAATTGGATGAGTAGCAATGTTGAAAGAGAGAGAGCCCTCTTTTCATCTTTCTCCTTGATGGTAAAGACAAGCTGTACTTTTGAGGTTGCTACACAGAGAAGCGCGAATAATGCTTCTGTTTTCGTGTTATTTGTTATTCCTGAATTTCGTCAAAAGCATTTTCTCTTCTACTCGTTTGAGCTTGGCTTGATAAGAATGTTAGATTTTCTTGTGGCTACATTTTGCCATCTTGTTTAGCCGTGTTTTGAGCTATCGATTTAGCTGTCGATGTTTGGATAGATTGTGCGATCTAACAGCTCACCTGTTCTGAGATTCAGCTAGACATTTATTTCAATGTCAAAATGCATTCACGTTTATCGTTTTACGGAGGTGCATTCGACGTGAAGGCAGCTACTAGAGGTAGATATATTTACATTCCACTGTTAATTAATTCTGTTTTCCAACCACCACGTTTCATATTTTTTAGAATAAGCAGCTAATTAAATTCTACAAACCACCATGGCTTCTATATATCTCTCGTCGAGTGCGCAACAGCAGTTAGCCCGTATCTCCGACATTCAGTCTGAACCACGTCGTACCCTAACGCCGATTCAAGGTTATCAAAATCTACCCTTGGTCACACTCGAGAAATCTATTGAACCCCTGACCGACCTCATCGAAGATATTGAGGCAATGGCTTACAATGCTGTGCAGCAAACGCAAGAACTCTCTGCCATACCAGATGGTTTCACTGTGAATGAATCCGCCAGCCTTCGTCTCTACTCGATGGAATGGAAACCGGGAAGTCTGTACACCATTCTCAACCGCATTCTCCGTTCAGAAGACCGAGAACTACAGGAATCATTCTTCTACTACCTGAAGTTATTCTTAACAGCACTTTGGAAACTTCCACCAACCGGGCGTATCCACGTTCAACGCGGTATCAAACTTGACTTAAGCGAAGAATATCCTGAGGGCAAGACTTTCACGTGGTGGGGTTGCTCGAGCACTACGCAGTCTATTAAAATGCTCGAATCAGAAAAATTTCTTGGAAAAGGTGGAATTCGAACACTGTTGAACATTGATTGTAGTTCAGGAAAAATCATCAAATATCATTCGGCCTATACCCACTGAAAAAAATAATCAAAATTCATGCAGGATCCCGCGGGTTATCGGTATTAAAATATCTGGCGATGTTTCTTACCTTTACGCAGGATTTTAATACTGCCAGCGCTGACAGAACCCTGCATAGTTTATGTAGAGTCAGCATGGAAAAAATCCTGCGTAGAGGTAAGAAACGTCGCGAAACTTTTTGACTTATTCAATCCACAAGTGTTTTCCTACGAGATCTGGCAGAATTTTGTTGGTTGAAAGAAAAAGGATTTTGTTCTCCATGTCTATCCTGCGGTATGCAGCAATCTTTTCTCACCAATGTCTGTCAGGATGACCGTAGAGGAAGTTGTCTCTATTTTACTTTTTGGGAAAGTTAAGTACTTTTTTCTTATAAAGTTATAAAAATATTTTCTCGTGTTCAATAAACTTCTAGAAAACGTATACCTTAACATTTTGACTTTAACACGCATTTTCATGTATACAAAATCAGACTATTAAAAGATAGTTGAAAAGATCTTTTTTATGTCAGGAATATTCTATTTTTTTCCATCAATAAGACATTAAAGTCATTAGAATGATCATGCTACTGTAAATAAAAGATGTATAGCAAAGCAGAGATATCACACTATTCTAAATTTCTTCAGCTTTGGATGATATTTTCTCGTTTCGTCTCCTTTATTTTCTAGCATTCTATTCATTTTTTTCTATCAACAGTGTACTAATTAATATTAATATAAGTCATTAAGATAACGTAAGAAACTGATACATGGCTGATAATATTCATACGTTGATACGTATCAATATGGACTAGTTCGTTTTTCTAAACCTGGATCAATAGCTATTTAATTTTAACGAAGTCATTTTGTCTACTCCATGATAGAATTTAACTGTTTAATGGAAAAGCTTTTGCAAAGAAACAATACTCATGAATGAAACAATGGCAAGGATCTGACGAAACGAGAGGCTGAAAGTTTACAACAATTGTGATAATAAATTGAAGGAGTATTTTACACGATATGAAAATGCTACTTTGTCTGGAACTGAACTTGCAATTAAATGTGGCAAATGTGTTAATACTTTAAAATTACCTGTTTCATTGTAACTCGTAAATAAAATAATAAATATAACTTATAAAGTCATCTATCAGTTTCTTACATTATCTTAATGAATTATACTAATATTGATTAGTTGATAGAAAAAAAATGAATAGTTATAAAATGAGTAGAATGCTAGAACATAAACGGAACGAAACAGGTATGGGACGAAATGAGAGTAATCCCTTTGAATACTCTGTTGAATGGTATATAATTTAAAAACTTCGGTAAAACATTGGTAAGTCATAGTTAAAAGTATTAATGTATACATTTCCGGAAGTTTATTCGACACGAGAAAAGCTTGTATGACTTTACAAGAAAAGATGCAGAAGTACTTAACTTGCCAACAATAAAAAATACAGACAAGTTCACCCTGCACAGACATTGATGAGAAAAGATTGTAGAATGCCGCAAGATAGACATGACGGACAAACTCCACAAGCTACAAGTTTTTGTGATCATGAAAAAATCCTACCGACCTTGCAGGGTTTGCGTATTGAGATATCTTGTGTATTACAAGTGATAACAGAAAGGAAAAAATTCCGCAGGCTATGCAAAGTGAAGCATCTGCGAGATATATTGCCTGAACGCATGTAAAAGTTCCTGCATGGTGTGCCTAGAGAAGAATCCTCCAGGATCCTGCAGAAAAGAAACTTGAAAAGTGAGCGTGTTAAAGAATCCTGCTCAATTATACTCACCAACTTGCAGGAA